TTTATATCGATTTCTGAAATTTTGGACCTTTCTGAAATTTTGGACCTTGAAATTTTTGTTTGTGAGATATGGCTTAGCCATATCTCACGAACGCAATATGCTAAATTCAAAATTCTTTTTGTATTAGGTTCGTTAAGCAATAGGCATATGTACAAAATTTTGAAAAATGTGTGGCGTCATGATGACGTCATCAAAAATGCGATTGTGTGAACCACATATAAGGGAATGTCCGATCGTCATGAAATTTGGCGGATGGGTAGATAATAGTACTAGTGCACAAAATGTGAAATGACGTCACGATGACATCATCTGTAGAATTTTTACGAATTTTTTAATATTTAAAATGTTATTCTGAAAATTAAGTCACAGATATTTATGCATGAAACTGGACATTTTTAAACACAATTCTGCATGGACACACAAAGTATAAACTTGAGACGTCTGGAAAGGCTTTTAAGCCAGTTGCATTGTCCATAGACAATCAACACGTCTAGTTGCTTTTCCGCTTGAAAGCGGAAAAGCATTGTTTCTGTTCTGATTTTTGTTTTTGTTTTTTGGTTCTATCCCAAATCCCATAGAATTTGTACCCTTTTTCTTCCCCGCGGCATTTTGGACCTAAAACAAACTCGTATTCTAATGAAACTTGTCCCATGTAAACACCCCATAGTGAGATTGTGTACCGAAGAGTGACGTCATAACAACCTCATCATGGGTCACGTGACGTCATCTGAAAGGTACATCTAAAACAGTGCTATATCTACAAAACTAGAAGTCTGATTGGGTTGAAACTTGGTATATAGGTAGACTGTGATGTGTTAAAGACAAAAAATTGAGGTGACGTCATCATGACGTCATCTTGTGAATTTTTAAAGATTTTTGAAATTTTGGACCTTTAAGCCATATCTCACGAATGCAATATGCTAAATTCAAAATTCTTTATGTTTGTTAGGTAATAGGTATTTTCACACAATTGTGAAAATTGTGTGACATCATTGTGACGTCATCAAAAATGGGATTTTAAAACACATAAGGGAATGTCCGATCGTCCTGAAACTTTGTGGGTGGGTAGATAATAGTACTAGTACACAAAATCTGAAATGACGTCACAATGACTCATCTGTAGCTTTTTTACGATTTTAAAAATATTACTTTTATTCTGCTAACAAAATTTAACACTTTTATTCATCTGATTGGCTTCAAACTAGGTATAGACTAAAACCACAATAAAATATTGAGTACTGGCAAGTAACGATGACGTTATCACGGGGCAAGTGACGTCATCATGAATGTTCCTTTTTTCAAAGTTTTCTATTGAGAAAACTATCTGACTGATTGGCTCAAAAGTCTGTATGGACGTAGTCCGACACGTGTTGTGGAGGGAAATTAACCTAGAGCCAGGGTTAAATGATTTCTGGTCACTTTTAATAACCGTTTCTGTCTTTTTGGACAAATTTGATCATGAACTTTACTTATTAAAGATGACATTGTTTTCATAAACGAGGGCTGATTGGATCGTCAAAAATTTGGCGGGAAGTCAGATAATGTTATTCATAAGATGCAATTTTGCGCCGGGGTGATGTAAATCAAATTAGGTTTTGCCCTTCACCAACGTATAAACTTACTGTATACTCAGTGTGTTACCTCCCGAGTGAAAGTTGGAAAAAATCACTCGGGTGGGACTCGAACCCACGACTTCCTGCTTCCTAGTGCAGACGTCTTACCACTCGACCACCGAGCTAACGGGATTGGTTGGCTGGTTCGAATCTGATGTACACAGCAGTGGGTACCGAATTTTGCACCAGGGTGATGTAAATCAAATTAGGTTTTGCCCTTCACTGACGTATAAACACTGTATATTCAGTGTGTTACCTCCCAAGTGAAAGTTGGAAAAAATCACTCAGGTGGGACTCCAACCCACAACTTCCTGCTTTCTAGTGCAGACGTCTTACCACTCGACCACCAAGCTAACGGGATCGGTTGGCTGGTTCGAATCTGATGTACACAGCAGCAATTACCGCATTAACTAGATTCATAAGATGGAATTTTGCGCCACGGTGATGTAAACCAATTTAGGTTTCGCCCTTCACCGACGTATAAACATAGATAATAGTACTACTAGTGCACAAATCTGAAATGACGTCACAATGACATCATCGATAGATTTTTTACAAATTTTTAAATATTTAAAATTTATGGATGAAACTAAACATTTTAAAACACAAATCTGCATGGACACACAAAGTATAAACTTGAAACGTCTGGAAAGGCAGAAAAGCCAGTTGCATTGTCCATAGACAATCAACACGTCTAGTTTTTAAAATTTCCTTAAATGATGCACGCTTTGATAAACCCCATTCCCATCTCTACTCCGGCTCCGTCGTTGAACACATAAACTGGTTCCTGTACGTAGTAGTGCATCTAATATTAAAAACAAAATGACTTGAGACTTGACTTGACTTAAGAAAAATTGACTTGGGACTTGACTTAACTTGGAAAAAAATGACTTGGTTACAACTCTGCACAGCGAAGGCAGTATGGACAGAGTCTACTCTAGTGTGTGGCCATAGAATAGGGCTAGGGGTGATTAAAAAGTGATAAAATAATTTGATGTGATTTTCTGCTCCCTTAGCAATGGGGGTTTCCACATGTAGCCGTACACTATACATACATGTATTTGTCCTGCTGTGCCCTCCATACATTTGGGGCATAGACCAAGTGCATGATGGAAAAAGCCATGCATTGGTTGGCAAGATGGCTCCCATGAGTTGATCAGATGTTAAGTCTGAGTAACTAAGACCCTATGAATCACCTTTGGACATGGTCGGGTGATAGTAGGGTCCTTTGATTATAAAGTACATCGCATCACCAATAATTTTTTTTGACCATTTTTACTCGTACTCCCAATCAAAATCTTCAGGTTTTATCCCCAAAACATTCCTCAAAATGCCTGATGCACCCCTGTAGGCTTCAGTGGGACTTGAAAATGCAAATGGTGATAGTTAGGTTCACATACCTTAAGGAAGAAAAGATATAGTTCACCTTCAATTGGGAAACTGATCCCTTGTTTTCCTGCCATGCTAGGAGGGCGCCATCTTGATTCAAGATGGCGGCCTCCAGCACGACGAGGATTGGTTTTCCAATTGAAGGTGAAATTTCTATTTTTGTATGACGTATTCTGTGCTGGTAAAAGGTTTTAGGTCCGTGCGTGAGTTCCTGCCATTGCAGACAAACGTTTCAAAGTAATTTACGTTAATTCTTTTTTTAAATTTGCTGGAATTCTCTTGAATGAAGTACCGGTATTTTTGGAAAATTAAATAATACTTTATCAGAAAATGTGCTTGATTTGGGGTGGTTCTGGCTAAAAAATCGAATCTCTCGCGTGATTTTTTTTTCGCGCAAAGCACTTTTTGATTGATTCGGAACTGATTAATAAACCAATCCGGAACTAGGAAAAGTGGCATCGGTACTTCTGACGCTTAAATTTGGAAAATCATTTTGTTGTATCTTGATCACTCCAGGTAAACTTTTTAACTTTTTTAACTTGAATTCGTGGAGTAGTTGAGCTGAAAGCAGCCTGACTAATGTTTGCTATCCGGAACTAGGAAAACGACTGTGATATATATACTAGCTCATACGAGTCTTGTACTAAAAAGAAAGAATGTTGCAACCTGCATGACCTGACGCCACATTTTTCTTCATATCATCCCAATAAAGGTCAAAATATTTTGAAAAGACATGAATCTGGGACTGCGAAGCATTTCCAATTTTGTTAGGAAATACTCAACAAATTGTCTTGACACTCCATAGACTTTGCACACAACTCAACTGCTGTATAAATTAACAACCTATCTATTGAGGATTCAACCATTAATAATGGTTGAATCCTCAATAGATAGGTTGTTAATTTATACAGCAGCATTATATTGAAATTAATCTTAAAATCATGAAAAGTGTATAGTCTGGTTCCCCGACCTGACAATTTCCCCCGACGTCCACACGTCTAAATTGTAGGTCAGGCAGCCTCCGTGGCTAAAAATAAACATGACAATTAATGACGGCCCCTTTTCAAAGCTCGGCTTTGTGTCCGAATTTGCTTTATCACATAAAGCTTTTAATGTTCGGATCAATTTTTAAAATAAATCACGTGATTCATATATCATACAGTAATGAAATTAATACAGTTTGATATTTCTGTAAGAAAACATTGACTGATCTGGAGTCTTCAAAATTAGTCACCCAAATAGCACTGTTAGCAGGCGGAGCCGAATGAAGATAACGGTGAAATCTCGGTAACGATCGTCAAATTAAAAATAGTACATGACGAAGCAAAAAGTTCGCCCATACGATCTGAGTATACTTGATGCTCAAAATCATCGTTGAATTTCAAGTTTTCTAAATGAAAGCAATGAATATTAATTATCAACTCATTTTAAAAAGTTTTTAATAAGCAATAAGCAGTTAATTAAAACTATATTATACTCGGAAATAATCGCGCGCTATCCAATTGTTGACGAAACGAATTCGGCAAACTTTCGACATTTTCGGAAAAAGGAGGAATTTCTCCCGTTTTAGTCACTTGACGTAAATTGTAATACGATGTATTACCGGAGGCTTCCTGACCTAAGATTCATCAGGTATAGTCAGAATCTTTTGGTCTGGGAACCGGACTAGAAAAGTGTATTGGCATTGAAAAAAAAGAAAGAAAAAAGAAAGAAAATGTTTGAAAAGCTCAAGGAAATATATTCTCCTAAAAGTAACCATGAAAACCAAGGAGTCTAACTCAATTTACAAAACAAATATTCTATTGATTTAAAACGCCAAAACTGTATGCTTTTGAAATTTCAGAAGTACATGTATGTAGGCCTAATCGTAAGCCAACCTAGTTTTGTTGAGGAAAAGAGTGGTTGCTTTGCTATTTGGAAAGCCTTATCTGCGCAGAAATAGCATGAATAGGAGGATAGAGGATTAATAGAGGAATATGGCACCACAACTGGACTTACCGTGCACCCTTTTCTCATCAAAAATCATCAATCGTGACACATAGTACATGTAGTAACTACGAAGAATCCTTAGTATTTGCGTGTTTTTTGGGGGGAAAGGGCTACAATAAATTTCAGTGCGTCAAAACATTGTCTTTGTGCTCAGTTCCGTACTGACCGTATAATTCGCGAGAAGAGAAGGTACGTACATATAACACACGTAAATTTTGTGTACACACACTTGTGTAGCTAGCTAGCTAGCTGGCTCACACGTACACACGAACACAAACACGCAAAAGCGATTGAAAATTCTCAGGGGTGGAACTTTTTACACGGTGAAAACTGTTGTTTTCTTGGTGTTTTTTTTCTCCATTATTAGAGTGTATTTTTTGTTCAACAAAATCACAAACAGTTTGCACTTTTTTTCTGTTTCGTTTTCCATGATAGGATATTTGTAAATACCAATTATATATGTCATTTATATTTGAAAACTTATATTTAAAACCATTGACTACCCTAGAAATCAAATGGTTCAGTTTATTGACAATAATGTGCAAGCTCCATGGGTCGAGAGCGCGCGAGCGGATTTTTTTGTTTGGGTTTGTATGCAAATTTTATTTTAGACTGGAGACCTGAGCTAGCTGCAGCGTGTTTCATTACCAATTGCGATCATCATCATTCCCAGACCTGACAATTACGCTCACGTCCCAACCTCGTCCCCAGTGCTTATTTTATTTCCAACATCGTTTCCAATATAAGAGAGAGCAGGTAGTGGTGGGCGCGTACTGCTCGACACACTGGGGACGAGGTTGAGGTCATGCAGCCTCCGTGGCTAAAAATAAACATGACGACATTGACGGCCCTTTTTAAAAGCTCGGCTTCGTTTCCGATTCGCTTTTTCACTTATAGCTTTTAATGTTTCCATCAAATTTTTAAATAAATCACTTGCCTCATAATATCATACAGTTATGAAAATACAGTTGGATACTTCTGTAAGAAAACATTGACTAATGTTGACCTGGAATCTTCAAAGTTAGGCACCCAAATAGCACTGTTAGCAGGCAGAGCCGTAGAACGCCGAGTTTTGGAAAATGCCGGTAACGGTCGTCAAATTCAAATTGGTACATGACGCAGCAAAAAGTTCGCCCCTCGTACATGTATATGTACGATCCAAGTACACAATCGTCGTTGAATTTCAAATTTTCTGAATAAAAGCAATGAATATTAATTATCAACTAGTTTCTTAAGTTTTGAATAAGCAATTAGCAGTTAAAAACACCTATATTATACTCGGAAATACTCGGGCGCTTTCCGATTGTCGACGAAACGAATTCGGCAAACTTCGGACATTTTCGGAAAAAGGAGGAATTCCTCTCGTTTTAGTCACGAGACGTAAATTGTAATACAATGTATTACCGGAGGCTACCTGACCTAATATTCATCAGGAATAGTCAGACTCTTTTGGTCTGGGAACCAGATTCATCAGGAACAGTCATGAATCTTTTGGTCTGGAAACCAGACTACATTATCATCGCACGCAAGTTCATCATCAAATCAATCGCTCAACCTCGTTGCCATGAGTACGATCTTGCTGCAACATGTTGGTTCCCACCGTGCCTTGCGCAGAGTTGTAACGAGTAACTGATTTTTGTGACTCGATCAGTCGAGTCCAGAACTGACTCGAGTCGAGTCGAGTCATTATGGGTCAAGAAGGTCGAGTCGAGTCACAGTGTGTAGTTGAGTCGAGTCAAGTATTTAGCTCGAGTCAAGTCGAGTCACAAATATTTGAACACTATCATGGGCGTCGCGAGGGTGGGGGGGGGGCAAGGGGGACACTTGCCCCCCCCCCCCGCAAAACGAAAAAAAAAAGGAAAAAGAGGTCCGAAGCCATATTGCTGTTAGTTTGATGGGGGGGGGGGGGGAGTAGGGCAAATGCTCCCCTGCTCACGCTCGGAAAAAATGATAAATTGAGAATATTATGAAAAAGTTAAGGAATTTTGGGGAAACATTTACTTCCCCCCCCCCCCCCGGAAAAAAATCCTGGCGACGCCCATGAACACTATATGTAAACACAAGATAGAAAGTCAGTTTTTGGCTTTTTACATTTTAAATTCGGGCTGTAGTTGCAGTAGTTGAAAAATATTTACAAAAATACCACTCTTCTTGAAATTGACTTCACACCAGGTGCCATAATTTTACAGGATGTCATTTGCCAACATCCTAGTCTGCAGGTGCTGCAGCTGGCCCAGTATTTCGTAACAATTTTGTAGTTTTGTCTGTCGGTGTTTGCAAATGTTGGATATTCCCCTTTATGAAAATAAAAAGGGGGTGCCAGCTGATCGCCATTCAACTAATCAGCCGTGTGGTTGCGAAAGGCGATTTCTAACGGATACGTAGCACTTTATTTTGAATGAAACTACATGCGCACAGACATGTTGGCGGGCGAAATCTTTGAAAACTAATTTCTCCCGGTTAGAAGACCGTATCTTCGTGCAACTTTTAGGGTTTATTTCCCTTATAATGATTTAAGTATGTGCTAAATATCGTTGTGATATGTGTATTACTGTTCAATGAAATTGCAAAAATAGGCCTGGCTACGTGCATTTTTGAAAGTTGTAACACTGGCGTTTGCAATATCTGTCAATCTTTTCAAGCCTCACGAAGTTTAATAAGGTCCTATCCCGTTATGGTGTGCTGTAAACATTTGAGTAATATTCTCCTTCACGAGTTATTCATTAATATATATCACCCTTTTGGCCGGCATCCATTGGTCGATACCGAGACACACGCCAAGTCACACCGAGTGGCGCTAATGAATATGCTAATATGCACTTCGTCAATGTGTTGCCGGGCCGAAATCGGTCAACCATAGCGTCTAGTATAAGGCGCTGAAAAGCATGCACATGGGTTGGTCGGCAAAAAAAAAATCCTCGTCGAAATTTTCCTTGGAGCTAGTTCAAGGTGTAGCGCTAGCATTTGCAACAACAGATTAAGCTGAAATTCGGAATTATAGATGATTATAAGTGTTCAACTACTCGTGAAGTAACAACTTGAGTATTCCTAGAAATTGAGATAAATACATAGATTTGGGGAAGTTTTCGAAGGGGACCGCAATGGAAATATTTTTTTTTAATTTGCGTTATCCCTGCTTTTTTCCCCTCTGTATGGGTCTTTTCTATGTTGTATTTTAATTTTGTTTATACAATTTTAGATAAATTTTTATGTGTTTTGTTAAATCTTAACTTAAATTAAATATGGATCATCATTGTGTGGAAATTGCAAATAAATCAAATCAAATCAAACGATTTCTTCCAGACTTGAAGGTCAGCTTTACCAGTAATCAGTATTGAGGTTTCGGCATCGATTGGTTTTCACTGAAATAAAGTTAAGAATTTTTTTTCTGCCGTTATAATTTAACATTTCAATCATACTGAGCATATTTTCTGAGAAACACAACGTTCAAAAGGGGGGGGGGGGGTGTTTGCATGAATTTCACTTATCTGTTACATCGTCTAAGCACGTAATCGTATTAGTTTTGCTTATCAACGGCAGACGGTTTGCCTTCGCAACCTTATGGCTGTAATGGTGACACTGATCAAACCACGTATGTATGTATACATTATTCCCGAACTTTCTAACGTGACGTGAACAAAAACCGGCACCGGCGTAAGTCATTGCAATATTTTTCGCAAAGTTTTGCTTTCATTTTTGGGACTCGAGTCTTATTAGCCTTCCTCGAGTCGAGTCGAGTCATTCTGATGAGGGACTCAAGTCGAGACGAGTCGAGTCATTTGCTCGCAGTGACTCAAGTCGAGTCGACTCATTTACCCTTAGGGACACGAGTCGAGCCGAGTCACCAAAAATTGTGACTCGAGTCGGACTCGAGTCAAGTCATTGACTCGAGTCATTACAACTCTGGCCTTGCGTGATTTTAACCCGTTTATACCTGTATAAATATCTTGGAGATTTAAATGAAGAGATCAGTCTACAGAATTTGCAGCGAGTAAAATGGAACACTTCGCTCGTACCCCGCCCTGCAAACATGGCATTGGGACAGACTGGTGAGCTTCACAGAATCTTGTGAAGGCAGTGAGGGTGGCATTCTGGGTAATTATCATGACCTATGTATAAAGACAATCTGGCTGCACCTGTTCAAGACCGCAGTTAGCCGATGCGCGCAAAAAAAATGCGATCCAAACATTTTCAAATGCACATATTCCATACCGGATGTGATTTCTTTTTCATTGCTGACCACATTGTGGACAAATTTTTAGGGTCGCATGAACCTTCGTGAATACGGGCGATTCCCAATAGTGCGCCTCCAAGAGTTTGCAACGCGTTGGCCAATCACAATGCGCAAAATCTGTCGACCCAACGCCCGTTTGGAAAAGGTCGACTGATTTCGCGCATTGTGATTGGCCAACGCGCTGCAAACTCTTGGAGGCGCATTATTGGGAATCGCCCGTATTCGAAACGGAGCCTGAGGAAGTGACGGGAATTGAGCATGTACAAAACAGATAAGTTTTACAGATTTTCCTACATAATTACGCTTTTCAAAGAAAAAAAAACCACTTATGAATGGGAATAAAAGAGTGATGACTCGGTCTTAACTGCCGTTTAAAACCTTGCAGGGTCGTGGCCGTGATGACTTGCAGGTCACAGGTCACGCAAAATCTATCCAATCAAAGCGTAAATTCATCAGCCTTTTTCCAGCGTCCTGTTTGGGGGTACGAGCGAAAATAGAACACATGCGGCGATATGATAAACAATGTTTCCATGAAAATAACCATAATAATTCAAAGAAATATAAAATGTCTTCGACAAATTGCAATGTTTTGTTGTACGGTATATTATATTCGTAAATATTTTAGTCTTGTCTGAAGTTAGATGCACGAACTATTCCTGAATTACCCACATGCCGACTAATATGTCTTTACATTACAACGCTCTAGCTCGCAGAGGTTGAAATAAGAATACAAAACTTAAAGAAAATGTACCTTATAATGTTCAATCACTTCATTAATATAGATTTCCCCTGCCATTTTCCTAAAATGTTCATTCACTTCTGAATATAGGTCATTCACTTTCGTCTGAATTTGAATGCACGTTTTTAATCTCATTTCAATTCAACGAAAGTTCAATCGTTATTATTGTCCGTGCATTCGGTTTTGTGAAACAGACGGCCAGTTACATTACCTGTGCATCATCATTTACGCAAGCATACCTTTTCGCGCAGAGTTCTGGCATACAATTTCGTGAACGTGCAATCAAAAGTACGTTTTTCACATTCAAAATAGCAGATTGCATCACATAACATTTAACTAAAAGTGAAATAGAATGACCAATTTTTGAAATCGCCCTCTTAAAGCGGAAAGGAAGTCTTGTAAATGAATCTGAATGAGTATAAACGAAATGTGCTGCTCAATCACTCAATTGATTGAACTGAAATGGAATCGAATGGAAAATGAATGACCGATTTTCAGAAGTGAATGAACATTTTAGGAAATTGGCCGGGAAAACCTATATTACATCATCGAGTTCAACCATCCCCTGGCAACACATAATTTTGGTGCGCGCTTTTAGTCCGTCAACAAATTAATTAGACTATTAAAAATAAAGTCACCTCTTTTCCATTGCCAATGTTTGCGCACCTACTACTAGCATGTCGAGTCAAAATATCGAAGTTAAAAATGTTCCAAGTATTTTACCCAATGTATGCATGTTTTATGCATGAAAACAAACAAACACCATATGAAATAAAAGGATGCGCCGTCATAACAGAACAGTTTCTCTTCTCCGCTTGCTTAATACTTACCTAGCCTCCGTTCTACCATGTGTCAGGAACGTTTGACATCGTTGGTACTCAAGTATACTGTCACAGAGATCTACCGATCGATCACAAAGGAAGTCGTTGCCGAGTTCGCAAGAAGACAACCGAGACGAATAACCGTGCCAAACATTCTACAACATGTGTAATTTAAGCCTAACTTCTTTGACACAGGAAACAGCATTTTCTACCCCCGTAATACTACTAGGCCTACAACAGTCGGGGATATAGCTAGGTACAATGGTGGCCACAAAGTTATGTTAAAGGTAACGTCTCGATAGTCCGAAGTCCCATTGGTCCGAAGTCCCATTGGACCGAAGTCCCATTGGTCCGAAGTCCCATTGGTCCGAAGTCCCATTGGTCCGAAGTCCCATTGGTCCGAAGTCCCATTGGTCCAAAACATAATACTGTGTAGTTCCACTTGTTCAGGTTGACTGACCCTAACCCCCTAACCCTAACGCTAAGGATTTCGGGGAACATCGGTATTGGGAAAAGCGGGTAGACCCCGTTCTCGACTATTGTTCTCCTGTCTGGTCTCTGTACAGAGTTAAGCACATTGATCAACTTGAAAGTGTCAAAGGTATGCCACTCGTCTCATCTTTTATCAACGTAGACAGGAGCAACCTTACCCTGAGCGGCTCAGTACTATTTGTATGGGTCTAACAAGAAAACTTACAGTGATCGAAAGTTTTACACGGCAGTACTATAATTCATTTCTTTAACTGTGAGTTTGATATCAAGTTATTGGGTCGTATGTATAAAAACTAGCAAATGCTATAGTTAAGCAAAAAGTAAAAGCATTTACTTTGAAGTACAAGCATTAAGGAAAAGCAAATTCTTGATTCCGTATGAATAAAACCATTCCTTTACTGTTCAGCATTTACTATACAACAGGTAGCTAATGCTTTTTACTGTTGGGTTGTTTTCATGGACAAAATGATTGCCAACAATAGGGTTTCTTTTGTGTGTACGAACTGCCACACACACACGGAGGGTTTACACGTGGTGTAATAATCCAAATGAAGGTGATGCATACAGTACATAAATTATGTAGTACATAAATTTTGATCCTCAAATCCAGCAAAAATCGTGACACCTTTCGGCAGCTGCAGAATACAGACTGTATACTTTCATCATTCATGAAAATTGTAAAGGTCCACAGTGTCATGTAGACGTCACAATTGCATACAATCACAGACATGTGTCACTGAAAATCATACCAACATTCAATACTCAAAGAGTTTTGTTTATTGAAAAAATAATAGTTGGCAAAGATTGGTGACCTAATAAACTAAAACGATGATTTCATTTTGTTCAGTCCCCAGGGTGCCGTTGAATAAAACTTATCCTTAATCATTCTATGCCACACTTAAGTTTACGCTAGCACTTCTCATAACGTGAACAAAATGCGAAATTATCGTTTCTTCTATTAATGAAATAAATTATTAAAAAAATATTTAAATTTCGCATAAATGCTATTCAAAATACAGTGTATGGTATAATATGTAGTTTATTAACGTTTTTTGTTAATTTTGGGGCTATTAATATTAATAAATGCAGCAGTTTTTGCGCCGAAGTATTTGCTTTATATTTTCAAGGTTGCCCCAACTCAGCCTTGAAAAATTACCAGTAAATACTTGAAATCTGAAGCATTTACTCATTTTTATTCATACGAAAAAAAGTAAACACTTCTAGTCTAGCAAAAGCTAACAAGTAAAAAGTAAATACTTCTAGCTTTCAGCAAATGCTTTACAGTAAAAGCATTTGCTTCATTTTTATTCATACAAATGCAAGTAAATGCTTAAAAATAGGTAGTAAAAGCAAATGCTAGTTTTTATACATACGACCCAATGTTACGATCGTATCAGTATACAGTGTCGAATACTCCACCCATCTAGCGGGTGCCGCGCGATGCGCGGCATCCCGATAGCAAATCAATGGCTTTAAAGGTACGGTATAGTCCATCATTTGTAATTTGTGCATTATGTTCATTTGAAGCAACAAAAGTGCTCACAATCTAAAGAAGGGGGCCGAACAACTAACCTGATGAAGTTTCAGCTCAGTGAATGTGGTATATTCCGAGAAAACAATATTCTAGGCTCTCGATTTCAAATCAAAAATTGCTGAATCATGTTTTGGATTGGGCCTGAATTCAGCGTCCAAGACACGTTCTCACTTAGCCGATTGCAGCTACGCGATGTCACGCACTGAACTGACGAATTATAGCAACTGTGCGCGCGTGTGCGTCATATCAATGCTTGCGCGTGCTTCGCCGAATAAAAAAACCCATTTACTATAGTACTAACGGACATTTCCAACGATGTGTCTATAAGACGCATCGTTGGAAAGGCCTTCTTTCATTGATTTCTTCCAAAAATGACAGCTTGCTAGAAAGAATAATTTCACCCGGAAGTTTAGTTCCATTACTATCTTTAAACCAAGTAAAATATCTGCAAATGATGGACTATAGCTTTAAATGGGAACTATTTACCGGTCCCCATATAATGGGAGCGGTGGTGGCCAGTCTAAGGAGTACTACGCTTGCGCACTTTGACAACAACGCCATCTTTGAAATGAATTAGAGCTGGAGAAGAAGACGCTCTTGCAAAAAACTGTAACGTACAAATCGAGCGTAATCGTGTCCAGCTGTCCATTCTCAGTAGAATTAGATAAATAGTGTTGAATTCAAGGAGTTGTCCAAATGGCTGATGCTGAAAAAGTTAACGTTGATAGTGTTATACAGCGATTATTAGAAGGTAAGAGCAAACGAGCAAAGTCTGAAAGTCGGCGAAACAATTTTCAAATCCATCACTTATCAATATCAGTGGCAGTACACCAGTATATGTACAGTCAGACAGTCGTTGTCCTAGCCCCATAAATGTGGCCAATTTACTGGACCACCTCCGTAAATAAAGGCCACACTTCCACCGTGTACAAAAACATGTAGAACTTTGTCAAATTTTGATTTTCACATATGATTTAGGCTTAGTTTTTCAGATGCGTGAAATTTCCAGATTCGTTTGCACACGTTCAGACGTTTGTGTTTCACTAGTCCCATAAATGTGACTCAAATACTGGACTTCCTTCGTATATTGAGTCACACTCACAGTGCCACATACCGCCTGGGCGCGGAAGGTCCCTTTGCTAGGGGAGCCGAAAATCAATTAATAGTAATAGGCCTACTTAGTCCGAGTAACTTGGAAGTTGGACCTAGTCCGAGTAACTTCATGAACTTGGACCCAACTTATCGCCTTTTTTAACATTTGGACATGGTCTGGTGATAGTAGGGTCCAAGCTAATACCGCGAGCTGGACAACACCGTCCCAAAAACCAACATTTTCCAACAAAAAACATCAGATTTCACCTTCAAAACGGCCTTCAAATTACTAGATATGCCACCTGAGGTACAACTACAAGTAGACATCGATGATTAAGATGGTTGTAGGCCTACTGAAGTTTACTTACGATCCGGAAAAAAAAGGTGAAATTTTCCGTTCATTTCGGAGAGCTCCCCTCGCGATCTTGAACATGTTAAATTTCCGATCGTGTTTAATGTTTGAACGACGCGATTTCTTCTTCATGCCCAGTGTACATTCGATGGTCCCCGTATCCCGAGTGCGATTCCGTTACCGAGCGCGCGCGATGCATCGATTATGATACAGCTTTTATGGTGGATACCAGTTCAAGCTGGTTCCCGATTCCCTTTTACAGTTCGAAATGCACATGTATGTGTTTACAAACGTGACTCATTATCATAATCGATGCGTTGCGCGCGCTCGGTAACGGAATCGCACTCGGGATACGGGGGCCATCGAATGTAGAAGAAATCGCGTCGTTCAAACATTAAACACGATTGGAAATTTAATGTGTTCAAGATTGCGAGGGGAGCTCTCCGAAATGAACGGAAAAGTTCACTTTTTTCCGGATCGTAAGTAACTTTCAGTACAACCATCTTAATCATCGATGTCTACTTGTACCTCAGGTGGCATATCTAGTAATTTGGAGGCCGTTTTGAAGGTGAAATCTGATGTTTTTTTGTTGGAAAATGTTGGTTTTTGGGCGGTGTTGTCCAGGTCGCGGTATTAGCTTGGACCCTACTATCGCCAGACCATGTCCAAATGTTAAAAAAGGCAATAAGTTGGGTCCAAGTTACTCGGACTAAGTTGGACTTATCGCCTTTTTTAACATTTGGACATGGTCTGGCGATACTACTCAGTACTGTAATTTCTGTTTTAGGCATCATAAATGGCTGAAACTTGTGTACAATAAACATTTTCATACATTTTGTCTTGTGTGCAAATTTTATTTCGTAAAGACTTCAAATAACTTCGTGACGGCAAGTTGAATATGGGACCGCAGCGCGCGGCGCGATGCCAACCCGGATTAACTTGTCCCCATCATTTTCTTGGAGCGCTACATTGAAATGCCATTTTTACCCGGATAAACCCATCGTAGATTGACAAATCAGGTACCAACTTAAAGAGGAAGACGTCATCTTTTCAGTGTCGTATGCGCGTTTGTCATTTTTTGAAGGGGGGGGGGGGTCATTCCATGCCAACTCAACAAATGGTGCACACCATCACCTCTTGGATTTTTTTCTTTTTTGGTGTACTGAAAGATACTTAGGAGAAATGCAAATTCTCAAAATTTGGGGTCTCTACGACTTTTTGTTCTTGCGCAATAGCATTTTGAAATTTGAGGTGGGCGGGGCCGGGCCAGGGCGAAAAGCGCGTCGCGTCACGAAATTCAATGTTTAAAGGGCCTTATATTTAAAACTATACCCCCCAGACATTTCAAACTTGGTAATCTGGGCTATTTTTTGCTGTAGATTTCAAATATTTAAACAGAAAGAAAGTAGCTTGTTTCATTTTTAAGTTAGAGGGGCCCCAAAATGGCCCAAAACTCATCTGGACCAATGTTGGGGGGGGGGGGGGGGTGTAAGTCAAAAATTTAAAATATTTTTACACCAAATTTTTTGCCTGTAATAGCCCCCAATTGAAACTACTTTCATGTAAAATCTTACACCTATATTAACTTCATTGAATGAGATATAGCCCTTGCAAAAAGCAAATTGTTTATTTTTACGATAACTTGAACCCCCCCCCCCCAAACCAACGTGAGACATTCCGCACCAAATTTTGCTTCACATATGTTTGAGGTTGGTCCTTAAGTGTAGTCCTCTGAAAAGTTTCATGTTGGTGTCTAAATGTCTTCAGTGGATAGCTGGGCTTTATAAAGAGTCTATATCTTACGATGCTGGTTCCGTAACATACAAGTACATGTACATGCACTTGTATTTTACGGAACCAGCACAACAAAATCCCCCGACTGTTGAAAGACTTGGGTCAAGACTACCCATTTCCTGCTCAATAAACAGTTGCTTGTAGACCTACAAGTACATGTATTTGTGGTGTTTTGTCTGTGCAACTTTACATTTCCGTCAAAACAAAACAGGCACCGTATTTTCTTTGCGAAATGTCAGAGACTTTGTTTCCCTTCGGTTAACTCCACGTACGTGATTACGATTTTGGCACTTGGTATGTGGGGTGAAATTGTGTTGTTTGTACTGCCACGTGCAGCGTGGAAGACGCAAAATCCAATACGCGTGACGTTATTCAGTTGGTTCCGCCCCTGAATAGGTAAGACCTCGCAGTACAATGCGGTAACAGTGAATTTGTGGTTTGCGTTTTTTTGGAGCGCTTTAGCGACAGTTTCAAACTTTAAGGGATTGACTTTGGTTACAAAGGCGGTACCTCAAAAGAATATCGCGATATTTTTCGGCATATCGAATTTCACGATGTTCCGATTTTTTTTTATGAGATCGATACGATTTCCGATATGAAAATTTAATCGAAATATCGTGAAATATCATCATACCGAACAGGCTTGCTCCCGAGGGAAAAAACGCCACTCGCACCCGTGTCACAAGTACACACAGACCGGGTCAGCGCGCCTGCACACATGCCTGCAAAACACAAGGTCGGCCGGCTGACCACACGCGGTTGGCATGGAGTGATTGTGTGTGCGTGTGCATACTGTATGGGGCTATGCACGTGCAAACGTCTAGGCTTGAATGGTATTTCAGTATTACTGGATAGTCTCGATTTTTTTCTTATACCGATTATCACCAACTAAAGATTCATAAATACCGAAACACCGGTGAACTCGGTATGGAATTTCAATACCGCAGTACTCTTCCTTAGTGTTCAGAATCTTCGCAAAAGTAATTCAAACAGAAAGACAAACAACATCTTTGACAAGCTTGATTCCATTCTTTGTGGTTCCAGGCATCCAGTTTCATGTCGGCATTGTCAATTACCGTTGACAGATAAGACGTAATTGTCAAGCTCAACTAGAAAACCTGATACTTCGGCAGCTGCAATACCGCAAAGGCCTTTGAAGTTCTGCTAACGCCGCCGTGTTTGCGGTTTTGTTTGTGTGTATTGTGTCTGGACGTTTAGAACGATGTTTTACACAGGGAATATTTTGACGGTTGTGACAAAACCTGATTGTGTTAATTGTTTCTTCTTGGTTGTTTTTGAGATTTGAATTCTACATGCATCATGCGTAATTTTTGAAGGCAAAACATAGTTCCCCAACTCCCAAGAGTATTTCTGCAACAAGAAAAAAAACGTGTCTATCTTGGTTATGACCGCCAAAACTTACAGGCTTCAGTCATGGAGCATGATTCCGTGTTATGCATGCGAGGTGCACGTGCAAAGGGAAGGGACTCGCCTGGATTCACATGCGACGCTGAGCCGTCCGATCCGGGGAAATTGAGAAAAAATATTTCATATTTTCATCATGATGTCTCATCATGGGCCTCGGGGAATAAATGTACGATCTAGGAGTGTCGGCACCGACGCGCAAAAAACAAAAATCTGGACTCGCCTGAATATATGATGAAGCGAGTGAGCCGTCTGGGAAACTTAAGAAAAGAAAATAGTCCAACGAAAGCGCAGTATAAAAGCCATGATTTCTCATCGTGGGTAAAACTCTTGTACGACCTAGAAGCGTACACTTACAGTGTTTACGAAAGTCCCTGAATACACCTGCGTCATGGCCGTACATGTCAGTGCATGATACGCATACACGCAGTTCCACACTGGTTACGCACAGAGAGAGTTGAAACACATGCTTTTCCCCACGCACTGCATTGCATTCCTCGATCTAAAATGCCCTTTCAAAAGAATCTGATTGGCCATCTAAAACCACGCTCGGAACATTTTTTTTCATTCATGTTTTGGTACAATTGGTCCGTTAGTTATTCAACGGTACCGACGTTCAAAGGGAAGGGACTCGCCTGAATCTTACGATACTGAGTCGTCCAGATAAAAATCGAGAGAAAAAAAACAACTCCACAAGAAAGGGTAAGTATCAAAGCCATGATTTCACATCGTGGGAAAACCCCCGTACGATCACACGTTACCAAAAAAAACCCTACGCCCGTCCTGCTGGGGCCACAAGCACAATGACGTATGACACGTGCTTTTTCCCACGTACTGCATTGATCAAGCTGATTGGCCATCTAAAACGGCGCTCAAAACATTTTCCATTCATATTTTGGTATGATTGGTCCGTTCATTAAGAAGGTCACGGCACCAACAACTTCATATTACAGCATCCACAATTGCGTATGCCTAACATTGTGATGATTACTAGAATCAATTACGGACCGATCACGTGAGAAAGAGTACGATTATTTTTTATAGGAGTCCGATTTTCACATGACACCGGCGAAGCACGTTAAGGAGTCGCTGGTGGCCGACATAAATTGCATGAGCCTATTGAATCACTCACAATTGATAACAAACGAAAAGCATACGTTCGCTAGGATAGGGGGATCGTCGTGTGGTAGGCCTCGGGCAGCGGTCGACGATCTGCATTATTTTTTAGTGGGCCTTGTCATGCCAGTGGCGTTACTAATTCGAACAATATAATACCACAAAAATTAAGCTTTCATTTTTAATAATCTGTTACAGTGATATATTGTTTTTACAAACAAATGGACTGATAATGAAACCATAACACTTTTAGTGTAGGAGATTTGCGGCGTGAAGCATTTGCGTGAAGCATTTGCGTGATTTATGCCGCGCCAGCAGCTTATCAACTCGGCATGTGGTGCTTGGTGGTTAGTTATATTTTTTCCCCTGATAATGACGTAATAACCCACTTAGTGAATACTGCATTTTTTTTGTCACTGGATACCGTGGTATAGTAAATGCAATACCGTCCCAAGCCTACAAACGTCGCATAGCGATCAACAGTGTTTACCATCTTTATTGACTTGAATTGCGTCGCTTCATGTATTTTTTTGTAAGTTTCATTTCTTTTTTCGAACAAATGCATACATTTTCATGGTTCAGGGGCAATTAAATGACAAGAATACAGCAGTATAAATGCACACATATCATGTTTATTATCGTAATGAAAGTCAAGCTCTTTGCGCTGCCGTCTATGGATCGTAGCATGCACCGCGCCGCGCTGCATGGAGACTAGGTATGGGAAGGGCAACGACATTCTTTCAAGATCGTTTTTGTTAAAATCTAAAATGAGTTTCTAATTAACTAATAAATCTTAAAAACAATTACTACTTGCAATTTATGGATAACAAGCTGATTTCATACCAAAGCGCACACTTTATTTTTTGCTTTCAAATTGGGCTCTTGGTCAGTGGGTTGTGTGCAAAATGCTTTTGTTTATTAATTAGCTAGAATTAATTAATTTGTATATTCGCGCACACTTAATCAGTGTAATGCCAAGAGTACGTTGCTGCATATGTTCACATAAAAACACTGCCCAAATTTGGTGGATTGAAACAACTGTCTCTTCAAGTTATGGCAGTTTTGAATATTAATTAGGGCATTAAAGTCCATTTGCATACTTTACATACATAATTAGTACAATATAAGCCAGTTTTAAATAAATTCTAGTGGTGGAGTTATTTATCACCAGAGGAACACACCAACCAAATTTCAGGCCTGGATCTCATACACATCTCAAGTTATGGCAATGTTGCATATCAATAAGGTCAAATTTGCATAATTTGGACTCAAAAATTTAAGATTTTCCCTAAAAGTCTGATTTTGTGGTCCTGTATCTCATGAAATGTGTAACCAGTGACTGTGAAACTTCGTAGATGACAAAAACCCTGTAGAATCTTTCAGTTCTGCGAAAATAGAATAAAGAATGCATTAATTTCTAAACTTACTGTCCAGTAAAAATGGCATAATTTCAGAAAAATGACTGTAAAGTGAGTTTTTAATATACTTTTTTGTACAAAAATGAACAACGGTGGGATTTTGACACGCTATCTTTAAAAAACAGGAATTTTCCATCGGTGTTTTACTCTCAAAATTGCATGTTCATTCTTCATAGATTGTACAAAGGTACTTAAAAACCTTCAAATTGCCATAATTTTTAATATATAGTGTCACAAAAGTCGTAATTAATTACTTTTCACAAAAATCCACTATTTGTCCACAAATAGTCAATATTTGGCACTTTTTCTTTAATCGTAACCCAAAAACGGCTAATTGACATCCTATAAGGTTATACATTTTTGAAAAGCACTCAATGAGATCTATCCAACTGTAGCTGTTTCAAGACCCCTTTACCATTTGCTGAAAATTGGTTGTCCGGCCTACAATGAAAGATTGAAATTATTTTGTCAGCAGAAAATCAACCCAGCTATAGTATGACTGCTAAATAGCACAAAATCGTTAAATTCGGTACCTTCAGAGGTCTAGATATCCAAAAATCATGGTAATTCGGCAAAATATTTGGACGGTTTTGAAAAAGCATGGCGTCTCTCAGTCCTTCATTTTTAAGGAGCGCGATCGCGCAGGCGCTCCTACTGCACTCCTCGACTGTCTCGAAGGAGCGCCAAAAACAGCGCTCCTCAGAAATCCAAAAGAGGGCTCGTCAAACACGGGAAGTTTAAAAATAAGAAGTGATAAAAACGCAAAGGATTTTAAGTCTTAAGCTACACGTATTTTTCGTTGGTATAATGCCCAAACTCACGTTAATATGCCGCTGGACATCGCTAAAAAATGAACGAATACCGAGCTCGTTCGTACTGTATAAGATCGTGTGTGTACAGCAGTTGTATACTGTGCGTGCACAATCTGCATATATCGCATAGAGCTGCATGAAAACACGTGGGCCCGTACGTGCGAGTGCGGCAATAAATGGTTCCCGCTGCGCCGCGCACTAAGTCCCAATGAAGGCATGATGAAAATGCGGTAACCAGTCAATGTAATAGTCGCGCGCGGTGCAGTGCAGTGCACTGCCGTACAGTGTTTTGCGTGCAGGCCGGATGGAATAGACATCGTAAAAATGCCATGAAAACAACGATTGAGAAGGACGATCTTTGCAAGCTTATTCACAGAACTTGATCTCTCTTGTCTGTGTATGTATATCCATTGTTCATGAATTTATTTTGAGGAAGTTTTACGGGTATGTGAAGTGAAACGATCAGCGTGTTTCACCGAAATCCTATACCGTAAAACGAGTCTCATTGCCGGCCCACCACACACAGTGCATCACAAACGCTCTTACTAGTGCAAAGTTCAGACGTTGTTAGCCAGTTTCTCGTCGTGACTAGCATTGTGTATATGGCATACTTGTCCTGCATTGTCCATTATTTTTAAGATTATCGACGGCAGATATTTTCAATAAAACTTAAGGCAAGTTTGTGTCATTTTGAGGCCCTTTTTGTATAGCTTTCGTAGAGCAATTGAAATAGTTCAGGCTGAAAATTTCATATAATTTTAACGAATCTGAAAGCAAATATTCAGTTGCTTATGTGCTGTTTATTAACTCTCCATTTTCCAAGTATAATCAAGTGATGAACCAACTGACAACTGTATTAAAAAATGAAAGCATAAGCAGTAGTCAAACCTTTTATTAATCTCCATTTAGTTAGTTTTTTAAAATAAATTTTACCGTGTCTTACAGTTACAAAAACAAAAAAAGTAACGCAACTTGAGCATATGTTTATGCAAAAACTAATAATAATGCAGCCCCTTGAATAAATCCTTATATTCAAAATAAAACAAAAACAATGGTAACCCGTCGTTTTACCGCTGATTATCCATAGATTTTAAGGAGAGCGATTTGCTCTCCTGAAAGATTTGAGGAGAGCGATTTATAGCTCTCCTGGATTTTCTTTAAATGAAGGACTGGTCTCTGATATTTACCAGACTGTTTCCCGGCCACCCTAATAATAGTCAAAAGGCCAATGGGGTCAGGGAACCAGACAAGAGCTTTAACCCTAACCCACCTCACTCCTCCAAAATCCTCCTGGCGGTTTTGGAGGATTCTAGAGGATTGAGGATGAATGGTGATTGAATCAAATGAGGATTCTGGAGGATTGAGGATGAATGGTGATTGAAGCACATGAGGATTTTGGAGGATTGAGGATGAATGGTGAATGAAGCGCAAGAGGATTTTGGAGGATTGAGGATGAATGCATTTTGAGGCAGGACTGTCTGATGATTTTGAAGGATTTGGCGTTGGTTATCCTTCATTTAAACACGAGTGCAAAGTTTTGGGATGAGGAGGATTTTGGAGGATTGAGGATGAATGCATTTTGAGGCAGGACTGTCTGACAATTTTGAAAAATTTAGGCGGAGTTGCAAAATTTTGGAGGATTGAGGATGGTTGTAAGCAACAAGGGCCTAGGGGGTTAGGGTTAATCATCTACTGAGCGTGCGTCAACTTTGGCAAAGCGCACCGCGGCTAGTTGCCTGTCATTCCAAAATCTTTGAATGTTAAAAAGGCGATAAGTTGGGTCCAAGTTACTCGGACTAGGCGGTCGTGTAGTGACTGTAGGGGGTGATCGTGTAGTGTAGGGCCCCTGTTATTTACCTGAATATACAGATAAAAAAAAATGTAGCGGCCTAATATTTCATCTTTTGCAAGGACTTCTTCATCTATTTTTTATCTGATTTAAATATTCAAAATCTGATTTTTTTGGGGGTTAAACAAAAATATATAAATTTCACCAACCCTGTCCAGTGCGCAGGGAAACATCCAATTCCATGCAGACAATTTGATTGTCAATAGTAAGACCACCCTGAGTAGCCAAAATTGCTCAGATGAAAGTTCACCCTGTATCAAATGAATGTAACATGTAAACTGATGAAGGATATGCATAGGGTAATAATGATCATATTGCCACAAATTTAACATTTGCACTACTTTATGTGTATATTTGCAGTCAGAGGGGCTCGACCAGGAAAAAATGTGCAGTTAACAGAAGCAGAAATAAGAGGATTGTGTTTGAAATCCAGGGAAATTTTTCTCAGCCAACCCATCCTGTTGGAGTTAGAGGCGCCCTTGAAAATATGTGGTAAGCTTAATAATGCAATTAATCTTTGTGCGAGAAGCTCAAAGATTTACAAAATAAAAAGTTCCTAGTGAATAACTCGAGGGGGTTATGGTTAAAGGGAATATACATCATTTGCTTTTGCTGTAATTTTCAGGAATGGATGGATTTTTTTTGGGGGGGGGAGTAGTATTACAACTGGCTTGTGCCCGTTCAAAGGTGTGTAATCGATTGGAAACAAAAAGCGGACTAACTAAATATGGTAAATTACTGGCAGTATTTGAGTAAAGCCGTTTTTTTCAAACACTGGTCGGTTGACCAGCCTTGGAAATTGATACAAAAAACTATTTTTCTTGAAAATGACAACACACCAGGTGCTAGATTTTACAGGATGCTTTAGACTGTCAGTGTCATTCACTAACAGTCCAGTAAGGTATTTCATAATACTTTGGTAGTTTTGTTTTTTGATGAATATATACATGTATTCCCTTAAAATCACTTTAATGTAAAAACCAATTTTTTGGTAAAATTCATTGATTGAGGGTCATTTTAATCATTTAAATCCACTGATCCACTTAATTACAAAGTGTAAGATGTTGTTAACACATTTAGACACCCCTATTTCATCAGCATTGACTCAACATATAGGTTTTGCATAATAACCCAAAATCATTGTTTTGATGAAAGTCAAGATCTGAGTTTAAAAAGTTTTTCTTTGAATTTTGAATTGTAAAGACAGCACACTCACGTTTGCTGTAATCATACCTTGATCTGTTCTGTTTGCAGTAATATTGTGAATCAATTGTGCTGGTGTAGGCTTACCTGAACCATCTAAAGGTGTATTAAAGTCCCAATTGATAGTGTTATTCCTAATGTTTCTCCATACAAATTTAGATTGAGATTTATATAATAACCTTTAACCCTAACCCCTTGGGCTCTTTTACTAGAAAGTATCCTGAATCCGCCAAATCACCAATTTTGTCACGCAAAAAATGTTGGTGTCCTGAGTCCATCAGAATCTCCCAATGTAGATACTGGAGGTATCCTGAATCCACCAAAGTCCAACAGCAAAAGTCTTGATGGATTTTGATGGATTCAGGATATCATGCTGGCATAGAAAAAAATTCAGTATGTTTTTCCATAGTCTTCAAAATCCATCCCCTAAATTGCTGGTGGATTTTGACGGATTCAGGATACCGTGCTCGCATGAAAATTGTTATATAAGTGTTGCTGCATAGGATCCATCAAAATACACCACTTACATGTACATGGTTCAACTCAAAGCTTTCAAAATGTTTTAGAGTATAGTCTAGGCTATATTTAAAAAAAAAAGGCTCATTTAGGGCAAGGAGAGGCATTTGTTAGTAGAAGTTGGTAACAAAGCTATTTTACCTAATTCAGGGGTGCTGAATCTGAAAATGATGGTCACCAAGCTGAATTTTTAGTGGAAATATTCCTGATTTCCATAAATCTTTAATACCTGTTGTGTAATATAATTGTTCCCATATGTAGGTATATTTTTTATTATTTCATTTTTTTTAAAGTTTATTTTGGTGATTCTACTTGCACTTCCTGATTTCAATAACATTCTCTTAAGCATATAAGTGACTGAATGATTATGAGGACATAGTAACAATCCAAAATGGCTACTATTACACCCTAAAGTTGCGCGCATTTACCTTGTCTCCAGATATCATCAAGTAGTCTCGCCGTTCGCAGTATTGGTGAGCTTCAAATTCACAAAGTTACTTACTAGCACAGTTACCCGAACAAAAATAAATTTGACATTATGTCAAAAATGCTAACATCTTGATATTAAGGCCAAAAAGGAAAACGGGGAAAAATGAGGTGTCTGTAAATTGGGCTAACAGTTAATAGGCGAAAGGTCGCCTAACGTGGGGGACTTGAATAACTTTGTCAAAACGTTTTCTTACCAATAATTTTTGCGGACACCCCGTTTTCTGCCCGTTTTATATCACAATGTTATCTTTGTTCACATGATTTTCCCATAAGGTTTTAAATAGGGTCATAAGGTTTTAAAAAGGGTAACTGTACCAGTAAGCAACATGGTAAATTTGAAGTTCTTCGATACTAAGGTTTGGCAAGACTACTTGATGATATCTGGAGACAAGATAAATGCGCGCAACTTTAGGGTTTTATGGTAGCCATTTTGGATTGTTACTATGTCCTCATAATCATTCAGTCACTCACATGCTTAAGAAAATGTTATTAAAGTCTGGAAGTGTAAGTAGAATCACCAAAATAAACTTTTCAAAAAATAAAATAATAAAAAATATACCGAAATATGGGAACAAATATATTACACGACATGTATTAAAGATTTATGGAAATTAGGCATATTTCCACTCAAATACAGCTTGGTAACCATCATTTTCGGATTCAGCACCCCAAAATTATGCTAAATAACTATGTTACCAACTTCTACTTGAAAGTGCCTCTTCATGTAACAATTTTTAAAGTACCCCACATGCTATGAGCAAATTTGAAGGGGTGAGGTTTAAACCCATCTGGTGATTTGACATGAGTGGAATGACCCACAAGCACATTTTCTGACTATCATTTCGAGACAGATTTTACAGTGACTTAAAGGGAATATACAACATTTGCAAACATCGAAAAATAAAACTACCAAGTTTTTACGAAATACCTTACTAGGATGTTGGTAAATGACAGTCTCAAGCATCTTGTAAAATTATGGCACCTGGTGTGAAGTCATTTTCAAGAAAATGGTATTTTTGTACACATTTCCAACGGTGGTCGGCCGACCAGTGTTGGGAAAAACCTAACCATTTTTCAACTACTGCTCCAAATATACCATTTTTTCAGTCCAAATTTGCCTTACAATTTTCCATCATCTATAAATTGATCCATTTTATCTTTTGTGGAGTCAGGGAACCAGACTACTTGAACATTTTTGTTTTTCATGGTTTTTCAACCTTTTCGAACTCAAAACTTCAAAAATTTCAGTGTAACAATATTCGATCTATAATACCAACCCCTCAAATAGTTCATTTCTGAAAATTACAGCAAAAGCCAATGATGTACATTCCCTTTAAATGTGCTGAAAGTTGACAAAGGAAGAGTGATTTTTTTGTCACAGTATGATCAGGATGGAAGAGGTGATATGGCCAAATATGAACGTTTTTAAATTTCAATTCTATAATGCATGTATACCTTCTCTGTATTACAGGTGACATACATGGCCAGTACTATGATCTTCTGCGACTTTTTGAGTATGGTGGGTTTCCACCTGAAGCCAACTACCTCTTCCTTGGGGATTATGTAGACCGTGGCAAGCAGTCTCTTGAGACCATCTGTTTGTTGCTAGCATACAAAATTAAGTATCCAGAGAACTTCTTCTTGTTGAGAGGCAACCATGAATGTGCTAGCATTAACAGAATTTATGGTTTCTATGATGAGTGTAAGTCTAATCTTTTGTTGGAATGTTCTTTGTTATCACAACTTGCTCTCATTGGCTCAAATAGCTGTGTGGTCAACATTCAACTTTTTGATATATTTGGAATGTTTTAGTAATAATACATGTACTTGTGTAGATCACTTATGAAACTGCTTTGCCAGAATTCACTAATGTACATGTATATAAGTGTCCCTCCTAAATAAGTGGAAGATTTTCTTTTTCTTGGTTAAATTGCTCATTTTCTGTGTTATTACTTATTTTTTGTCATTAAACTTTCATGTTTTTTTTTAGTTTTCTAAATTTATGAAGATGATAAAACAAAGACAGAGAATAGTCAGTACATTTACTAAAAAATTGTATATCACATTATAAGAATGTACTCAATGTGTTCCTCTGGCAATTTGTTTGTCTTGTTTGTTGTAGGTGTGTATCTGTTGATGAAAAAGTCCACTATCATCCACATTAGGAGGAAACTCTTGAATCAATACTTGTTGCTTTAAATCAACGTTAATTGTTTGCCAAAGTTGCACTCCATTTCTGTATTTGTTCTGCCTGTATCTGTTAATGTCCAACTTCTTTGGCAGCTGTTTGTTTGACAACTTGCAGTAAGGCAAATGTATTATTTATCGTCATAAAATTTTTGTTTTTCTATATCTGGAAAGTGTAAATTCCGTTTAAACAAAACTGTGTAAGAAGGTGTTTCACACCTCATCCTGATGTACATGTGTTGATGTATACACACAGAAAACACTTTAAGATTCCAGAAATGTTATTTCAATAGGTCTAATTCTGCTCTACCCTTTGGGTCAAATTACAAGCAGAAAACATAAACGAGATTTTATGATTACCTATATTTTTTGCAGGCAAAAGGAGGTATAATATTAAGCTCTGGAAAACCTTCACGGATTGCTTTAACTGCTTGCCTATAGCAGCTATCATCGATGAGAAGATATTCTGTTGTCATGGTGGTAAGTTTCATTTATTTCTTCAACAACCTTAGCTCCCTGAACATTTTCACTACCGTAATTTTTGGAATATAAGCTATGGCTTATACGTTGAATTTGCCCATGAAAATGTTTACTGCGGCTTATACACAGGGCGGCTTATACGCCAAGCCTTGAAGAATAAAAATGAGATTCAAATGTGTATTTAATGTACTGGTACAAGAAAAGAGCTGTTGTTGAAATGAATTATCAATTAAGAAAGTCATTAACAAACCGAAAGCACGTCCAACGAAAAGATACCGAGCGGTAAAAAGTACGGCCGGCCAGTGGCCGGCCAAGAGTGAGCTCACGGTCTTCGATGCTTGCGACATCGACCAGCAGTACGTGATACTAGTGCTGCATAGCGCATGCCCATACCTGCCAACTGTTTCGATTTAGGCAGAACTGTTCCGATTTCGGAGATAAAAAGTGCCCGAAAATCGGAACGTCCCGATTTTCCGAGTTGCGAGAGAAGAAATAATACAAAAAAAATTTAAATTTTTTTTTAAAAATGCCCCGGCCCCGTCGCACACTTGTCCGAGAAAAATGTTTTATTGTATTGAGGGCGCTATTGCCGTTACCATAATGGTATAAAATCCGCCTCGCTCTTATGTACGACGAAAGGGACGTAAAGCAGACTCAAACGTCATCGAACAGGCCACATCCGAATAGGCTGCCCCTGCGGCCGTTGGCGCGCACAGGCTTTTGCGATCGGCCACAACCTAGCCGCAGCCAATAATTTGGACGCGAACTGAGACCCAATACGTCATCCGTCTGGTGTACTGCCTCTCTTGCGTGCTTACCGAATTAAAGCGCAAGGCAGACGTATTGATGCCATGTTTCGTTTGTTTTCCACACATGTTGTTTCTTCATAGTCTTTGGTGGTTTTTCGTTGATATTTTGACCGTGCTGAGTCGCACTTTTTTTGTTTTTGTATGAGCATCTCAACTGCAACATGGACCAGGAGGATGATACACTGAAGGAGAAAAAGCAGCGAAGGAGTCAAAAATTCAGAGAGGAATATCGTGAAAAATTTAGAATTGTATTTAACAGGCATGACAGGCTGACACTGTGACAGGCCTATGTACGAACTTTTCCAAATAAAATTGCACTTGTACATTGTACATGTAAAATGCATTACTGTGACTGAATATCTACATGTGATTAACTGTGAAGCAAAGTCAGCAGTCATTTATTTTTAAATTGTAATTTTTTTTTATCAGCAAAAACCAGCTGGAAAATTCAGAAAATTATCCACTAGCCTAAATAAGAATACTTGTATTAATAGTGTCTGTTGGGTCTGCTTCTGGATGTCATGTAACATTTTAGGCACATCCACATGTACATGTACTTTGTATGATTGCCCCTGGACCCCACCCATTAGCGCGCCGCGCCTGCGCCGCTCACTGTTGCTGTTCCTCTTTCTGACTTTTCAATGTTGGCAGGTATGCATGCCATGCTGCATGCGCTACATTCCAGGCTCCATGCGCTTGCGGACCTCACCATTTGTGGTAATAAAGGGGTGTACTTTCTTGGGAACAATAATTACCAATATTTCCGCTGTTTACAAAAAGAAAAAGACGACTTATTCTTTTTATGGAGTTCATAATCTTTACTTGATAATCAGTTGTTCAACGTCACAATATAATTTTTTTCTTGAAATGTATTCAAGAAACGATGTAAAACTCAAATCGGGCTAAATCACCCCTCACAAAATTAAAGGTTCGTCCATAAAAATTTCAGCATCATGTTGACTGTTTTTCGAAGAAAAGTTATGATCAAAACTTGAATTTTTGACGTTACTACTCATTAGTTATCACAACAATTTGATAAGTTTTGTTGTGAAAACGGACCTGTTTATTCTTAGGACAAAACAAATCAGCATCTGTTGCCACAAAGCAAGATTTGTAGCGCTCCAGTCAGACAACATATGGTGGGTTGCATATACTCTCTCAAGTGCTGCGGGAAAATGTTGTCATTCGCCGGCGCAGACTGCCGGGCCATGCACTAACTTTTAAGGCCGGGGACTGGAGGGGCCAGCCGGCAGCAATTCCCGGTGTTCATTTCTCATCATCAATTTCCATATTTGTTTGTAAGAGTATCGACTGTAAATGGTTTGATATAAATTGTGTGGCCCTTTTTATAGTTTGTAGTGTAAATGGAACTGGTTCAGAGCATTTTGACTAGAATTTGGAGGCCTAACAAAATTGAAACCGCTGCGGTCAGTGCGGCAGTCAGCGCGCAGCGTGCTCGATAATGAGGCACACAGCGAAGTTTTATTTGCAGCGAGTTGTACGGTCTCGGACCTTCGAGAATTCACGAGGTTTCGCGAGCGTTCGGCAGTGCCCCTGGAAGACGGACAAGAAACCCGTTTTCGCGGCAGTGTTGGGCCAACCTGGGGGTGAGTGAAAGATTATTATTTTCGGCGTCGAATGATACCATTTTTTAGTGATTATATTGTTGTAAAGGTGATTAATTAGGCTTGCGAAATGAGGTATGAAAACCCTTTTTTTCAATACTACCTGCACGTTTTGAGTGATCCTGACTACCTCGGGATATTGTTGGATACAATTTGTCGATTCCTGGACTCTTGAAAAGTTATGCTTTCGAGCCGTACTATTCCCATCTCTGCAGGTTTCGTGGGCGATTTATATTTTGATGCGAAATATACGCGAAAATTGCATGATTTTGGTCGGCAACGTCTAATTCGGATGACGTCACTCGTGTATGCAGTGTGTATTACTAACCGCCACTGTACATGTTCGTACGTGGGTGCATCGCGACCGATGTCGACAATAGGTTCCTACCCGTTACTTTGCATGTCGCATCAAGTACAAAACAAATACATCCCATGTGCATCTAGGCTATGCATTAGCAAAGAATGTAGTATCCAGGCGCCACTTAATTCAGCGGTGTGTACAAAGTCTATGAGTGTCAAGTATGAGTGTGAAGAATCAAGAAAATTAATTTTCTAAGTATTTCCTATGCCTAACAAAATTGGAAATAATTCTCACTTTAATCTCAGTCCCAGCTTCATGTCTTTTATTTAACATTTTTGCAATGACTAACCTAATTTAATATTAGGTCTTTCCCTGTAAATGTACATGTATATTGATTGATTATAATTTTTCTCTCCTTTCTCTTTTCTTCAATATACCCTCTAGGTCAAGTACGCAAAGTGATTTACCCATTTTCCCTGTCAAGATAGTTGGAGACAACATCCGCACTGGAAGATGAACATGACCAATTTCAATGGAACTCTATTATTTTACCATGGATTGAACTTTACAATTTTTGTGGTACAACCAGATTTTGCATGTTTAATTCAATGACGTGTGATCAACAACTCATAAACTGATGAATCAGGCGTCGGGGATTCTTACGCCATGTCGCATGGAACATTGCATGTATTGTTCGTTGATAAAAACCTGAGGAATAAGCACTTTCATGGTACATTTAATATGCGCCATCTTGTTCACATAGCAAGAAGAACAAGCATTGCTAGATGCGGACACATTTTGTAATGTACACATTTTGGAATGAACGCATGATGACTTGGAAGCACAAAAGGTTTTGTTTGATGACGTGTAGACTGCAACGCATGTAAATTTGCCTGGTAAGAAAAATGACGCATAACAGTGAAAAAAAATAATCAGTTCAATCAAATTTCTCTAAATATCAACTTCCAGTTTTATTTCACAAATTAATGAATTTGTCAGTAGCCTTTATGCTGTATATTGAAAACCGATAATACAATACAAACCTCTGCGAACGACTGTACACTGCACTCGACGTCCATATCGATGTTCTGAAAATACGCAGACTGCGTAACATTATGAACCAATGGCAACTTTGCTGATCGTCTGCGAGACAGTTTGCATCTGTCTGAGTTGTCGGCGACACTTCCAGATGAAATATTTCCATATTATCTGTTCTGGAGTTTTGGTCCCTTTTTTTTTGTTTCACTTTGCATTTCTTACGTTGAGATGGAAACTAGCCAGAACAGAATTGATTGCTTGTTAGTTTGTAACCATTGCAATCTTAAATATTTATTATTTGTTCTTATATGCCTGCATTCTTACCCTTGTAATTATTAAGAAATACAATTTATTGTTATTGCTAAGGGCTGGTGCGGTTGAATAATCTTGCATCAAAACAAATTGCTGACACGTGGAATTTTATAAGCTCGTGGTCTATACATGTCGCAAGAGTATAGTTACTATACATGTAAATGTACATTGCACATCAGTGTTTTCCAGATCATTAAAAACCTTACCCAATAAAGAAAATGTGCCTTAATTTTCATGTTCACTTTTTTCAGATCTATATTTGTAAGTCATTCCATGTTGTGAGAAACTTTCATTTGTAAAGTTTTTTTTCTTGGAAACTGAAAGTGGTTCAAATATTAAAGTGTTTCAGTATACCTTAATGTTTAACTAAATGCAGCTGAAAGTATGTAATTGTGATTTCATGAATAAAGTGTTTCCCAGAATTTCAGTCAAGAAAAGAGACGACTTGATTCTTTATACATGTTTTGTATTTGTTTTCAGGTTTATGTCCACTTTCCTACTTAAGATAAAGCCAAAAATAAAGTTTATTTTGCGAATTTGTACTCCCCCACCCCTCCCAATAAATCCCCACAATGATTAAGAAATAGTTATTGCATTGCCAGCATAAACACTTAGTAGGACCCCCCCCCCAAAAAAAAACCGACGAAGTCTTATTTTTAATGGGTTTACATGAAACATCGTTTTACTTCCCTGTTTCGAAAAGACACGCAACCAGTTTATTATAGTCGGGTGCCTTTACTCCGCGTTTACTTATTGTGATCCCGTGTACGTGTGGAGCAGGGCACGAAACCGCCGCGCACTTGCTTTCAGAGCGGTGTTATTTTCGCAACCTGGGCACTCGGAATAGACATCCTTTTTGAGTGATCCTGACTACCTCGGATACTCAAGAGAACCAAAGTTATAAAATAAAGGTAGCTTAATAATGTCGCTTTTCATCAAATTGTCAAAACATTCTGCCCAACTTCGTTTGGTATAGATAAAAGGACGATTTTCACCGACCGTAAATTCACCACAACAACGGTCATATTTCCTTCCCCATATTTCACAAAATAGTTGCTTAAAACTTAATTATTATCATTTAACAATTAAACTATACCCTTTTTAATCTCTATTTCAAATAAAATCCTACTTTTAAAGACACGTTAAGCGGAAAATGAATTTCGAAGATTGGATCTCCTATCTCATGAATATTCATATTTCCAGTGTGTTCGTGCATACGCTGCAAATAAACGAAAGCACTTTCGGGCATGCTGCGCGCTGACTGTGCGGCATTTACGTCGACTTCAAATCTTAATTCCCAGATTTTTGCGTGCTGCGGCTTATACTCCGTGCAGCTTACACTCCGTGCAGCTTACATTCCGAAAATTACGGTACTTAAGGTCACAAATCTTCTACAATCCATCCAAAAAAACCTTCTTTTTTTTAATAGAAAATATTGATGTTCTCCATGATTTATTAGTTTTGGGCAGCTTACTGGAAACACAGGTATTTTTTCTTGGCCTGTTCCCTAATGTGGCGCACTTCGCACCTATCTGGTGAATTTTTCCCTTCAAATTTGGGAAGCAGTCTACATTTTGGTGTATATAAATTTATATAGTCCAGGACCCAGGGTCCTTTATTTTTGGAAATGCCCAAGTGCTTGGTGGGTATTTTTGGAAAGGTTACCATGGTGTTGGTAAGCACGCTTGTGATTATAGCAGGGGTGTGATTTGTCCGGATTTCTGGAATTTTAGTCAAACGTCTGTAGAATTTTATGCGGATTCCGGATTTTCAACGTTTTCTGTTTCCGTAATATCGCCCGAAAACTTCTGGTGAAATATAGGCCCTAATTTTGGATAATGGATGGACTATATAATAAATGTACATCTATACAAGTAAATGTACAATAATACATGTACATCATGTCAACCGAAGTTCGTTGATTTTTCATTTTTGTCCAATCTCGTCCCTGTTACAGAGAGTTCCATAACTTGCATGTGTGGACAGTGAAGGGTATGAGTGAGATACAGTGGAATATCAAACTGGCTTTTGGAATGTAGCGCATTTAGTGCATTGTGGTTTGATTTATGATGTGCTTACAAGTGTTGGCTTTTCTTTTCAATCAGTGTTAAAGCATCCACTTTGCACCAATACAGGTTTGTCACCAGACCTACAGGCAATGGAACAAATAAGACGCATCATGCGGCCAACAGATGTCCCAGACCAGGGCCTTCTCTGTGATCTACTTTGGTCAGACCCTGACAAAGAGACAAGTGGCTGGGGAGAAAATGACAGGGGTGTATCTTTCACATTTGGGCCTGAAATAGTCTCTAAATTTCTTAGTAGACATGACTTGGATCTCATCTGCAGAGCACATCAGGTAAGGTCTGCATTTTTACACTTCTGTTTAAAGGGAATATACAACATTTGCAAACATCGAAAGACAAAACTACCAAATTATTATGAAATAACTCACTGGACTGTTTGTGAATGACAGTCTGAAGCATTCTGTAAAATCATGGCACCTGGTGCGCTCTCATTTTCAAGAAAAGTGGTATTTTTGTATCAATTTCAAACACTGGTCGGCCGACCAACTTTGGGGAAAACACTGCCTTTTTACAAACACTGTGCCCAATTTATATTTAGTTGGTCCGCATTTTGTTTGCAATCAGGTAAAAGCCAGCTAGACTGGTTCCCTGACCTTACAATTCTCTGACCTCTATAAATTGCTCCGTTTCATCTTAAGTGGGTTCAGGGAACCAGACCACTGGAACATGATGGGTTTTCTTGGTTTTTGGGCTTCTACGAACACAAAAACTTCAAACAAGTCATTGTAACAATACAAGATACAAGAAGAACATTGTTAATACAAGATACTGCTTATAACAAGCAAAATTATAGGTCCCAAGTCTTTCTTTTTCTTGGTTTTCCATTACTGTTAATACAAGGTGCGTGTTAGGACAAGGAAATTCATAAAGTCCCAAGGACCTTGTTATAAAGGTATTCGACTGTATTTGCTATAAAAAAATAACCCCCCAAATCCAACCATTTCTGAAAATTACAGCAAAAGCAAATATTGTATATTCCCTTTAAAGATCAGTCACTTTAATGTGGTCTCAATAGTCACTTTAACATATTGCCTCTGTACTAAGGAGGTCACACTTTGTTTACGTGCCTGCTTTCCTATGGTGCTCAGTGGACCGTGGACCCCCCACTGGCTGCACAGGAAAGTGCACATGTAAACAAAGTGTGACGCCATCAGTACAGAGGGTTATTGTTTTGTGCTAAATTTGTACATGCCCGCAATGCGTGCACGACGCACGTTTCGATTTACGATACGCTTATAACAGGTTTTTCTTTCCACAGGTTTTTCTTTTTTAAATACAAAATACAGGCTGTTGTAAGTTACTTTTAGAGTTGTAACATTTTGGTTTGTTAACAACTTTTTTCTCGTATGGCTCAGGTTGTTGAAGATGGTTATGAGTTCTTTGCCAAACGGCAGCTGGTGACACTATTTTCTGCCCCTAACTACTGCGGAGAATTTGACAATGCAGGAGCCATGATGAGTGTCGATGAGACATTAATGTGCTCCTTCCAGGTAAACATAAATCATGATCATGAGTGGGAGGGTCCATGTAATGAGTTTTATTTTAAAACATATTTTGTGCATATTTTGGTTTACAATATTCTTAAAGTGCCATTGAAAATAGAGGTACATGTAGATGAGACAAATAATTATGTAGCATTGGATGTTGAATTCTTTGGGCTAACTTTCGGAGAAAACAAGGGAAAAAGTAGAGATAAAAATGAAAAGACGTATTCTTTTATGTACACGCCATGTGATGATTGGCTGTTGCCACAAGTACATAGATGTACACATGTGCAATATAGCAGCACTCTGTACTAGTATATCTCCCACCAGCCTTAATTTCAAAGCTACACTCAGTAGATTTGTTCAGAGTATTTAAATGAAAGCAAAAGCTTTGGATTCAACAAACTGGTGGAATTGTTGTTATAAAAAAAACCCTACTTTTCAGTTCATCCATTTTTGTTGGGGGTTAATGTATGTAACAAGCAAATATTAGTAAATTTATAATCAGTATTCATTGCTGTGTTATCCAGATTCTCAAACCTGCAGACAAGAAGAAATTTCCCTATGGTGGCCTGAACTCCGGACGACCCGTAACTCCACCAAGAGGAGCAGGCAAGAATAAGGGCAAAAAATAAATGGAAAGTAGTAGCTTTTCATATAGGGTCCACCTAACCATCCTAAGGAATTTGAGGTTAAATTGTTGTGAATTTTAAATCACCCTTAAATGTCGTTAAATGAAAGAATTCGAAGGGCACACCCAAAATTTAAAAATCTAAAGACTATACTCATACATAGTGAGCTTTTTTTTCACAGAGAAATATCAGGGGCCACTTCTACATGGCTTCAGAAATCAGCTTAGGAGTCGCAAGCAATATAAATTACTTGATGTGCTGGCAGATAACCTGTGAGCAAAACTGGTATAATTTGTTTGTTCGCCTAGCCTCTGTTTAATTAGACTTACAAATACAATGTCATATTCGGAGGAAAATGCATATTTTTAGTCTGAATAATAAAACAATGTAAAATTTTAAACTGATATTTGACTTGATGTAGGTTGTACAAACACAAAACACTGTGAATAAGGTTTAACATGCACTGTGAACGATTGTTTTCAAAAGTCAAGCCTCCTTGCAGTATTTCAACTCAGGAATTCCCAACAAAGATGAACTCAGTTGACTTTAACCTAGAATGATTAATAATTTGATCGCTCAAAAGCTTTGAGTTGAGTGACTTTTTCAAGTGTTTGTATGCATTTCAGATCCAACCTACGTTACATGTCGAAGAAGCTTGTAAAAATAGTGGAGAGTGATGTTTTGCCCCCCCCCCCCCCGCCCCTTTTTTATCACTGTCCCGATATTTTTTTTAATGTACAGGTTACCCTTTGGTTAATTGTTGATGTAATGTACTTGTATTAGAATTATTGTGCAGTTGCACAAACATGCATTTGTCTGTGTCCTTGCTATACTCTTTAAGGCGCAAAGACTCTTATAAATGCCCTGTGATGTCTCATTCTTGTCATATGAGGCTGTGGATCCATGTATATGACAAGTTGTTCACCTTGCTGTACACATTGATGTGCAAGGTCATGCCTCTACATTGTCAAAATACATTTAACATGCTTTTCATTAATTGCCCAACAAAGTATAGTATGTTGACATGGCAATTTTGTTTTAATCTTGGGTGTTTATTTTAGTATATTTGTCAAGAAATTTTGGATTTTTGTGCAACTGGACACCTGCACATTTGCCATTGAAGTAATGAGGTTATTCTGGGTGTTGGCACAGTGACAGGATCACATAGTAGCATGGCAAACACTCACTCCTGGATGGTGGTTTCTTTCATTTTGTATGTTTATAGTGGTTAGCACCATCGTTATGCAGTAGTAGATACAAATATCCTACTGCTGAAAAAAAAACTGCTTCTTTTGTGCTCTTGTTAATCAGTGCAAATGGCTGAATCAGTTGCTAAGCATGAAGAATGATTCATTGTCAAAAATAATACTTCATGCCCGTGCTAATAGTAATGGTCTTTTGTGTTGTAAAAAACAAGGTTGCCACTGTTCTGTATACATGTAATGATCAAAATCCATCCTATATTCTGAGCAGCTTATAGAGAATTGAATCCACTGATGAGACACATTCAAATACCTTAACATCTACAACACCTTACCCCCAACCTTGGTAGTTTGCTTGAAACTTTGAAAAAAGGATTGGGGGCACTTGTAGCTTGCATTAAGGTGGGTTTTCTGTGCGAGTCCTCATCATTTTGCTCCTTTGATCATTTTGCTCTTTTGGAGGGGGTCTTTTATCAAATCTGTGCTTTTATTCAATAGTATTTAGGATGGATATTTCTTACAGAAGATCCCTTTAAATTAGTCCCCCAAAAAAGGCCAACAACATACAGTTCTGTTGGATTGGCAGTAAGTTTTTTTTGGTAACTCACATTACAAGAAAAGGACATGGCAAACATTTAAATACCCTGCATTCGAAAGTTTCCTCATATGCTGCCATTTTAGTTTTAAAATTTAGAAAAACAAACAATCGTGAAACCTTCAGAGGGATACATTTTGGTAACTCACGTCAAGGTCACTCACATACAGTTTCTCCGCCAATCTTTGGTGCAAGATAAAACATAAACAACTCTTTCAGCATAAAATAATATGAACCTTTCTCTATGCCTTAAAAACAAGAACATACAATAACATCTGCATGTTACATGTAAAAAGACAAAGTGCAAAATTGACTTCCTAAAATCCATAATTTTAGCCCCCAAAAAAGAGCAGTTTTGACAAAAAAAATAAACTTGACATATTTCACCTTGCTGCCAAATCACTCAAATCAAAGGTCTTGTCCCTTGATACCACATTTGAAGTTGTGATGTTGGTAGTTTTGAAGATTATATAAATTAGCTGTTTTTCAGCCATGTCTACTTTCTCATGGAATTGCCCATGTGTTTTATGTTCCTGATTTTCTCTATATCTATATGTTGTGGAGACATATCCTGAAAAAAACCCACAACTTTTTAGGTATACTCTGAACAACTTTCCTTTACAAATCGTATGTACTGTGTGTCTGCTTTTAGAACATTATTTCATGGAAATTATAGGTACAAGTGCACGCACATTATTTTAACTGTTTATCAACCTTAAAGTCCTCGGAGAGTATCAATTTTTACAAAACCCATCATAATGTCTACCTTTATAGAAGAGCTCAGCAGAGGTTTGTGTGCATTTGTTTATGGTGTAAATCGAGGACACGCACTGTAACAACATGGATGAAGTGAGGACAGGAACCAAATCGAGGACTCCTCGGTTAGAAATCGTGTACAAAACCAATGAGAGCTGTTGCAAAAAAGTATAAACAAAGGAAAAGGGAAGAGGAACAATAGAAAATCCTCACTTTACACCATAAACAAATGTATGTCTGCGTGTGTGAGTTTTTCTTAGTCACTATGTGGACATATGAGCAAAAGATGTCCACATAATGCAGGTTGTGTTGACGTAATGTGGACTAAGCTGTGTCCACATAACGTTTCGCCCTCTCTGGAAAACAGGTTTAAGGTTATCGGTCACACAATGAAGAGAAACATTCAAGGAAATCAACAAAAAAAAATTTGGGTTACGGTCGCAGAATGAAGAGAAACATTCAAGGAAATCAAAACAAATATAAAATATTGGGGTTGAAAGAGTTTTCACAGTTTCGGTAAAGTAATTTTTTGTGTACCGAGTTTTCTTAACTACACGAAAACAAAGGAATGTCCACATAGCGTATGTAAAACGAACATGGGTGTGTGTGCTTGTGTGTGTGTTGGGGCCCATTATGTTCATGCAAATACTGTGCGCAGTCACAAATAATCATGGTCTTCAAATTTTATTGTACTGATTTGTGTGAAGACTGTTGTCCACTTTTTCCAGAACTAAAATAAACGTTTTTGGGATGTACTCACTGATCTCTATTAGAAGCGTTTTTCTAATCACACTGTATTGCCTTGCATTCTCTACTACCTGGGCAATATGAACTTAAGATATTGGCTGGTGTTATTACTTAAAATAAAGTCAGGAGAACATTTGACATACAGCAGGGGTGTGAAATCTCAGCTTAAAAGCTGATTTCAGCTATTTTTTAGTTTTGGATTCAACTTTTTTCAGCTTTTTCCCTCACTTGCTGTGTACAAATGTATAGGAGATTTCCAAAGTTCAGCCTTTTTACACCTTTTTCAGATGTTTTCAGCTATTTTTATCAGTGGTCACTCACATCCCTGATACAGGTCGTGAATACTTTCTGTTTTCATGATACATGTACTTGAAAGGGTACGGTCTTTAAAGTAAAAGTGTTGATTTCATGGCGAATAATTAAGGAATACAGTAGGTTGTGCAGCTGTAACTAGCTGTTATATTTCATGGTATCCAAAATTACATGACCTGAAGAAGACAACAATGGGGGCACTACTGGAACCATTTGTTGCTGTCCGTTGCTGTGGCATTATTTGAAAGTTGCTGCGGCCCTCCACCCTATCTCGGAGAAGTGCAGTTAACAAAGTATTAGTGTATGAATTCATTGCTGATAAAAATTGCCGGCACAATTGCAGAATACCCCGCCACTCGATCTATCCACCTCGTAGCCGGCTACGATCTATCCACCTCGTAGCCGGCTACGAGGTCATGGTTGGTTGACCTCAATAAACATCCTCAGCGCTACTTGTATGTACTATGGCGTCATGCTCCATTGCACTCCCACTTCGTAACCGCGTAGCCGCCAACAGGGTAGTTGGTTTGGACTTAGAATTTTTTCAGCAACTCCCATTCCTTTTGTGTTGCTTCGTTCTCAAATAATGGACCCCCACTCAGTATCCGCGTAGCTGGCATGGACTTGCATTGTTTCTTTTCCAGTGATTCCAACCTCGTAGCCAGAGAATTTAGGGGTGTATTTCCGAGTGGCGGGGTATTCTGCAATTACAGTCGAATCTCGTTAGTACAAACTCTGTTAATACAAAATTCTGGTTATAACAAACATAAATCCTTAGTCCCGACTGTGCATTTATGTGCACAATGAATGGGACTGATGTTCCTCTTAATACACAATTCTGATATAACAAACAATTTGGCTAGGTCCGAACGAGTTTGTATTAATGAGACTCGACTGTACTCCCCATTGCCCCACCTCGTGACTTGAGGAATCTAGCATTAACTGGATGTTTAAATTCAAAGACCTGTCATTTACTGTTAGTATTAAAAGAAAAATGAGGGGGTTGTTGTTATGCCTTGCTGGTCTATATGTATTAGGAGATGGCTACAAAACAACCAAGGAATATATTTCTCATGCAGGGTAGCTCCCATTTGAAGACTACAGCTTCCATGACACTGTCTTTTGGCTTCATTCCAAGTATCAGCAAATTGGCTGTAGCCCCGGTGACTGCTCTATGTTCCGACACCCCTATGTTCCGACAACCTAGATTGTGTTACTCCCGGTTAGGGTTAGGGTTAGGAATAGGAATATGTGCAGTCCGACAACCTAGATTGTGTTACTCCCGGTTAGGGTTAGGAATAGGAATATGTGCAGTCGGAACATAGGGGTGTCGGAACATAGAGGTGTAACCGTAGCCCCTAGTGTAAAATTCTTAACGTGTTACCAGGCTTTTACTAGAAGCTGTTCTGTTTGTAAGCATCACCTGCTCTGGCAGGGACCACCTTATTGGGAAGTTTTCTATTGTTTGTAGCGATCATGTTTTTGGTCCTTCCAACTTGTGACTAGTACATGTATAATGGCCACGACAATTCCGAAACAAGTATATGTATGTGTCTTTTTTTAAAGGGGGGGGGGGGATGGATTTCTTTTCATCTTTATTTGGGCTAAGGAAAAGAATATAATATCCGCCTCTTTTATTGTTAGAACTGAAGGTAGATTTCATCTGAAAAGATAGATTGGTTTTATAGTAAGCAAAAATTTACAAATGTACAATTGATAAGCATGTATTTTCACGGACAGTATGTTAGTTGGTCATTCTAGGTTCAACAGTGATGGATATTTTCTTATAATTTGGTATGAGTAAAGCTTGATATCCTATAAGATGCAAAAAGAAAAAAAACCTTTACCACCAAAATGTTACCCTTATGTTTGTTGTTATAGGTTGCGTATGTATGGTTGTATGCAAATAAAGTGATGTAATGTGTAATGTATGTAGAGGCGTGAATTTAAACAGCTGGTATTAATTGTAAGTTATTTTTTTAAAAATCGAAGCTTTTGTGAAGTGTAAAATACAAAAGCCTATCAAGTCCAAAACCTATCAGGCTATTTATTCACTGATGTAAACATATGACTTGAAATAAAGTAGCTTTGTTATTTAGAATGGCATGCTGGAGTCAGATGTGTACTTTTAGATATTATTATTATTATGTATTCATGCCACATAAAAAATATACATCACAATCAAGATGGGCATTCCATTGGGAAAACAAAAGCAATACAAATCACAATGTTCGAGGACCTGTCATCCCACATCCAGATGCGAAAATAAAATTTTAAATGAAACATTGCACATTATAAAAGACTTAAAAAATTTAAACAAGATAAACAAAATAAAATTAGGACAAGACAAGACAACAAAACAGGACACCACAGACGAGACGGGACACGACAGGACACGACAGGACACGACAAACATTCCATTCCCTCGAAATATTATTTCGTTCCCTCGAAATATTATTTCGTTCCCTCGAAATAATTATTTCGTTCCCTCGAAATATTATTTCGTTCTCTCGAAATATTATTTCGTTCCCTCGAAATAATTATTTCGTTCCCTCGAAATGTTAATTCGTTCCCTCGAAATAATTATACGGACGCCCGGATTGACCATTCGCATTTCAGGCGGTCTGAATTCATTACATTTTGCAAGTATCAATCCGTGCTATAATGGATCAACTGTACCGTAGCCCATATTTACTGAACCACCTAACTATAAATCCTTTTGTCATACCTCTTTCTTTATACTGTATTTTCATTGGCCCAGGACGATCACCTGACCGGGCGAGAAATATGCATTGCTTGGCACACTCCCGTTGTATATCGCATTGTGATATCACATGCATGTAGACTAGTCCCCGCCCCACAGTCCAAACCATTATGCGCGGACCGCGTTTAAACCAGACTATACTTGTACTCACTGGTACCCCGCAGTACTTTCACGTTCCACAATATAATGTATAGCAGTGAGGGAGCAGTGCATTTGCAGACGATATTTACTTTAATTTGGCGGCCAGCGACTGCATCGTTGTCACTACAAACCAGGTTTTTATTCATTGACCCTACCACTATAAAATATGCCAGGGGATAAGATTTTTTTTTTATTAAACTTGTAAAACCTTTACCCCAAATTTCCCTGAACTTAAGCTTGTCTTAATGCCCCTACATCTATATATGTTGAAAGAATTTTTTTCAAAGATTCCTTCAGTTTGCCACCCTTAATTTCCCTTAGAAAAAAAACAAGTAAAACACATCATCAAGACAAAGGTGTGACAAAACAGTTGTTGACTGATGTGATGTGGGATATGACGTTTTGAACACCCTCGGGGACGCATAGCACCCTCGGCTTCGCCTCGGGCGCTATGCGTCCCGAGGGTGTTCAAAACGTCATATCCCACATCACATCAGTCAACAACTGTTAAATATGCATGATGTATTATCTTGCACTTGTTCATATAGATCTATATTTTATGTGTACAGCATTCCGGCAACAATTTGATTCGTCTTTTGATCATTAACCTTAGTTTCTCAATTAACGACGATGACAGTGATTTAAATAAACCATTTCACGTATCCAATCCTTCTCTTTATCATTCCATTGAACATATCCGTTAGGAAATCAACCAGAGCTTTGTTGAAGTTTTTCATATTTATATAAGGAGTTCGCAAACAAAACTTTGCAAAAAGTTACATTTTCTTGAAG